TTAACTGAATATATGGATTTTTTTATGTATGTATCTAGAGTTATAAGGATATTTTACTTTACAAACAGAGTTAGCACATTGTGGCCGTGTTCGTTGTTGATATTTTTGAGTTTGGGGTTTTTCTATAATTATTTTTAGCCCTTTTTACATGTGGATGAGGCTATAAAAATAGATATTATCAATCTTAATGTCAATATTGTAATCATTTTGTTGTCTTCTTATTCTTCAGACTTCATTAACAGGTGTATTAAATCTCTTTCTCTTTCTTTTGTCCATATATATATATATATATATATATATATATATATATATATATATATATATATATATATTGGTCCTATAGGCTTCATCGGATTAAGATTATGTTTACGTTGATGCGACTACACATGCACATTGAGTGCTGGTGTTAATTCAGCACCTGTGGATTGCGTTGTGCATGAAACTCCGAATCGTGCTACGATATATATATATATATATATATATATATATATATATATAGTCAAAGAAAATTTGGATTATTACTATATACAAAAGATAATGGTTAAACATAGGAAAAGATAAGGAAACATTCGTTCTTTTAAATAATATGTGGAAATAACCACTCCTCGACTGATGAAGGTCGAAAAACCCGAAACTCGTGTAGCTAAAATAGGGAAAAGAAAGTATAATATAATATATATTTTAAAAAATCCCCATTAACCAAAAACGTCTGCAGCTTCTCTCTTCTCTTTATATATATATATATATATATATATATATATATATATATATATATATATATAGCGAAGATACCGCGAAAATGCACATGTTGTTGCTGGAGTGGGTGTGAGCACCTAGGGCCATATCATGCCACCTCCTCCTGCAGAAAGAGAAGAAAGGACTACCCATCAACTGTAAGGAGACAGAATGTATGGCTTCCAGCAAGAGTAACGGCCCAAGATGCGTACTGTGAATTGGAGGTAGGAAAAGAAAGCGAGCAGAAAGGATTACCCATCAATGGTATGAAGGCCCGATGTATGGCTGCCAGTGAGAAGAACAGCCCAAGATGCGAACTATGAATTTGTGATATTGAAATTCAAGCAAATTACGAAAATTTAAGTATCTTAAAAGTATTCTAACAGAGAGCAGAACATGTCACACCGAAATCCGAAGACGCATTGGAATAGTGAAAAATACATTCCAATAGTTAAGCAACGTACTAAGAAATTGGGTGAAAATTGTACTGAACTTTTATGTAATATCAGTTCTCCTCTATGGTAGTGAATGTTGGACAATGTCCTCATAATATGAAGAAAAGACTTGAAGCAACAGAACTGTGGTTCTTCAGAAAGACGCTAAGAATACCAAGGACTGAACATGTGTATAATGAACTTTTAAGGAAAATGGAAACGTGTTCTTGAGGCGACAAAGATGAAGACAATAATCCGAATAATGTAAATAGTGACTCTGCCGAGTTAAGTGTTGTGTCTTGTCAGACCCTAATACTCAAGGACACATGGCACAGTGTATAAAGGCGTTAGTTAGATTCAGTGACAGGAGCCAAAGAGTGTGAGTTCAATACCGGGTTTCCGTCAGTTTTTCCGGTTTAAAGTCGATCAGTCCGGAAAATGAAAGTGAAATTTAAAAAAAAATGAAAAGAAAAAGAAATAATTGCATATTACGAGAGAAATTTAAAAAAGAAAGAAAAGTCGGGGATGAATATGGCAAATGTGCCCATCATAAAAGGAGAACTTGGGACAGTTCCGAAGAGGTTTCAGAAAGGATGTGGCACAAGGCCGAATTTAATGTGGGGTATCCGAGCCCGTAGGCTCGGCCAAAAATTCCCTGTAGACCCCGTATAGAACGAGACTGCCCTTCGACACAGCCACGACTGGGGATCCTCTCTGCCCGGAGGTGGAGAGTTTGACCAGCACAGCTGGAGACGAATCTCTAACTGCACGATATCTACCAACTGCCCCACGCGGTCAGGTGTGAGACAAGTTCGAATTTAATGTATTTATGCGAATGGGGACATACCTATTATCGTCCGTAGGTATGCAATATAGCAGAAATGAAGATTCGTTGAAAAAAAATCAATTCTCTTCAACTTCTCAATTTCCTTTACAAAAGCCACCAACTTGATCGCTTTGTACAAGTGGTAAACTTGTCTTTTTCAGGTTTCGTGTATCAAGCACAATGAACAACAGAGCAAAGTGAATATTTAGTGGAAAAATCGGACGCTGATTATTTAGTCGACGAATTATATTTAGACGTTAAGAAAAAAAATGAAGACTGATTCGATTCTGATAATGGTGTTAAAGTTGTTTTAATTTCTTTCGCGCTTACTCGTTGCCGATTTTTTTATCAGTTTAAAACCATATCAATTCTTGATTCGCAGACAAATTTGCAATTACATTATCTAAGCATTTGTTCATTGCATTGCATCTGCCCATCAAAACAATTTAAAAATGTGTCCACTCATAATCTGATTTGCATAAAATGTGTTTTCTAAAAGTTCTTGCTATAAAATGAAGCAAATTTGTTTTGGGAATAACCAGACGTTAATATACGACGTTTTGAGGCAAGGCAAGGCAATTAGCCCATGAATTATTTAGATAAGTAGCTTAATTTTTTTTTTTTTTTTTACTGAACGTTATGGTCCATGTATTCGTTGCATTTCTGCAGGTGTTCTGCATCCCGTAGACTTTGAATGCTATCCAGTATCTTTATTTTTGAAGAGGTGGCAATATTGAAGATCACAGTGAGGCGTAAAACTGATAGTCGCTATGCAATGTTGATTCCCATGTGCTCTCTCTCTCTCTCTCTCTCTCTCTCGTTTCATTTCTCTCTGAATATCTCAATCTATATTTCTCCTTTCTCTCTGGTCATCTCTCTCTCACTCTCTTCTTTTTGCTCTCTTTCTCTCTCTCTCTTTATTTCTCTGTCTTTTTCACTCTCCTTTTTGTCTAGTTCCCCCTCTTTTCTTAGCTCTTCATCTGATCTTCTGTTTGCCTCTTGATCTGGCGTTAAACAGACGTACTTACTCATATATTCTCATTGTTATCAACACAATTTGCTCAAATTGAACAAATAAAATAAACAGTCCAAAAACTTATCTTCCCGAATTCAAATTTCGCAAATGTAATCCGCTCATCAGGGAAGATAAATAGGTTAAGAGAGATTTTTAAAAATTAATTTAATTTATTTTCTGTTAATGTTGTTAATATTGAGCACTTTACTTACAAAGACAGCTTGTCTTAAAAGCGTTATGCACCCCCCCCGAAAAGAATATATTCGGTGACAATTTTAGTGTGAGACACAATCTTTATTATTTGTAAGGTTACGAACTTAATGATTCACTCTTGTTTATTCGTAAGCTTGCGTATATAAAGAACAAAACAGATCGAAATTATGCATATCGATCTTAATGTAGACATTTTACTAAGTTTAATTTGTTTACATTATTTATATACTGGCTATTATTCTCATTTTAGTTGTTATTATAATTCTCTAGCCTTCATCATGTCGAAGCGGTTAACCGCCAACTTAGTTTAGTTAGAAACAAGATAAAGACTTGTGTCAAAAACCTTCAAGTACGGACAGCCTGTTAGTCTTTAGAATCGGCATTTCAAATTTTATCAGGACTCGAACCAGAACTACCAGGAGTAAATGTATCCTTTAGCCACACAATAGGACACACACACACACACACACACACGTAGAAGATTTTTCTAGGAGATTCAATATTTTGACTTTGGTAGTGGGGTGCACTTTGGTAGGAAGGGTTAAAATCTTTCACGGTACCTAGAAACCGACAATCGGATGGATGTTTTCTAATAATCTATCTTCCCTACTAATTGCGAAATTTGAAAGTTGTCAAGTCTGCGAATTAACATTTTTCCAGATATGGGGTGAGGTGCACACCTCAACCTCAGGCGTTACGCTCCTCCTATTAAACTTGCATGGTCCAAGAGACGTGACAATGGTACGTAAAACTGATTCTGTAAACCTGCTTTCCAATAAAGAAGTCAACAATAATAAGGCTAACTGAAGTTGTACCCCGACTTCCTTCGCAATTACATTTCCTTTGATTTGTATAAGTTCATATATTCGACTTAGCTTTTAACCGACTTGCTTAGACGGCAAAGAGACTGGGTAATATCTGAAACAATGAACGGTGACGTCATTTGAAGTAATTCTGCCTTATTCCAAAAAAAAAAAAAAAAAAGACAAAAAGTTTAACTTATCCATGCCGACACGTGGTTAGCAAAGGTAATTGTTATTTTTTGTCAGTTTCTAAGCAAGGCATAAAATATATTAATAAAACAAATTCGAAAACGATGACTTTCGAATTTTAGAAATTGAAATATATACCTGCTTTAAAAATTTAATATTATAATTATTGCCTAGATTAGAACACCTACCAGTGGTGCCAGAGGAACAGGTGCACTAAATTCAATCACACATATTCCCGGCTCAAGAAATCATGATGATTTGGTGCCGTCAGGTGATAGTGAACAATATAGTCTCGCAAGATATTAGTACTGTGTAGGGACCTCATTGAGTGCTCCATTACTTGTGGACTTGTACTAGACTAAGTTTAAGTTTATATTTGTAGGCATGTATGCGTAGATATGTGGGTGTCCCTAATGTGTTGCTTGCTAGATAAGCTTACAGACTTTCTCCAGATGTATAAATGCATTTTCGAAACAAACTGGAAAGCTGAAGAAAATAAAGTTAGTGAAGCAAGACTCGTGTGCGTGATAAGGTTTTGTTAAAGTCTTAACGTCAACTTGCTGCTTACCGGCGTCAAGGGACGGGAATATGTGTGCCTATGGGTGTGTCAAATGGGAGAGGTTTAATCTTGTGTACGCTTGAGGATTTCAAAAAGGAAAATCTTTGTTTTTGTTTCCCTTTGTTTTTTTCTTGGAAATGATTTCACACTTGCATGTTTTTTTGTGTGTGTGTTTGACAAAGTTTCCTCATTTGTGTACAAAACAGTGTCTCTGCTGTGTGTCTGGTCACCAAACTTTTGACTGTGTGTGAGTCTTTTGAGGTTTGTTGGATGTTTTAGACGAATCATCATGTGCGTGTTCCAGAAAGCGAGGCAGATCGAGAAATCGACCGACAGAGGAGGAGGAGGAGGAGGAGGGGGTGGTGGTGGCTGCAGAAGAAGAATAGCCTCGGCCTTTAGTTAACGTGAGGGAAATACACAAAAAGTCAATATTTGCAAGAGAGAAAAAAAAAATGAAATCCAAAGAAAAGGGTGAAACGTGTGTTTCATAAAAGTGAAGGGAAAAATAAAGAGATTTGAAAATTTTTGTTTTTCTAAATTCTGGTTCCGTTCGTAAGTTAAAAAAAGAAATGCGGGAGCGGTACAATAGATAGATAGATAGATAGATAGATAGATAGATAGATAGATAGATACTAACAGACCGAGTTATAGATAGATAGATACTAATAGACCAAGTTATAGATAGATAGATAGATACTAACAGACCAAGTTATAGATAGATAGATAGATACTAACAGACCAAGTTATAGATAGATAGATAGATACTAACAGACCAAGTTATAGATAGATAGATAGATAGGAACAGAATACGTTTAATAGATATATAGACAGACAGATAGGAATAGAATCTGATAGATAGATAGATAGATAGATAGATAGATAGATAGATAGATAGATAGATACATACATACATACATACATACGAACAGACCGAAACATGTAGATAGATACGGACAGAACGTGATAAATAAATATGAATATAATGTGTTTAATGTTATATAGACAGAAAGATAGATAGGAAAAGAGTTTGATAGATAGATAGATAGATAGATAGATAGATAGATAGATAGATAGATAAATATTTGTATCTATAAAAAGATCTATCTAAGTAAATGATCTGTTTATAATAAACAGTATTAACGACATTTACCGGCCTGAATGTCTAAGAATTTTTCATAAAAAATATGCGTACATTCAGGCCGTTAAATGTTGTTAATACTGTTTATTATGAACAGAGCATTTACTTAAATATTAGTATCTATAAAAAGAACGTATAAACATGAAAAAAGTGTTAAAATAATTGTGGGACTTTCTCAATTTCATAATAGATAGATAGATAGTTAGGAATATAATGTGTTTAATAGATATATTGACAGAAAGATGGATAGGAAAAGAGTCTGGTTATTAGATAGATAGATAGATAGGAATAGAGTACCATAGATAGATAACGATAGAATACGTTTGATATCTCTCTCTCTCTCTCTCTCTCTCTCTCTCTCTATATATATATATATATATATATATATATATATATATATATAAATATATATATATATATAGGAATAGAGTACCATAGATAGATAGCGATAGAATGCGTTTGATAGATAGATAGATAGGAATATAATGCGTTTGATCTTTCTCTCTCTCTCTCTATATATATATATATATATATATATATATATACAGAGAGAGAGAGAGAGAGAGAGAGAGATAGAAAAATTGTGTGCGATTGATAGATATATTGACATATAAATAGTGTGCGATGTATTTATATATATATTGACATAAAATATATATATATATATATATATATATATATATATATATATATATATATATATATATATATATAGGTTTAGTGTGTGATAGCTAGCTAGCTAGATAGACAGGCACATACATACAACATACATACAATATACATGCATAGGAATAGAGTGTGATTACAGATAGATAGGAATAGAATTTGTTTTATAGATATATAGACAGACATATAGATAGAAAGCACCACCTGACAAAAGTATGCATCTGTAAGAAGAGGGATATAAAATCCGATACAGAAATTTTATCCACTTTACATAAAGGAAGGTAGTTGTATTTGAAAAACTGCTTCCTATGAATAGATATACACAGGGTGTCCATAAAGTTCATGTGCACTTTAAAAAATTATAACTTTATTCGTATTTGCGATAGAAATAATTTGTAAAAAGGATTAGAAAGAAGTAAATCTATATGTTTTAAGGTTTTATTGAAATTTTATTTCAGTTTCCACATATCCTCCATCATAGGCAATACAAAGGGTAATACAATTTTGCAGTCCACGGAAAACATTTGCCAACTGATTTACAGTAATGCCTGAAATGACATTAGTTATTTTAGCTTTTAAATCTTCTAATGAACTAGGTTTGGTTGCATACACAATTGTTTTCACATGTCCCCATGAAAAAATCTAATGGAGTCAAACGTGGAGGCCAATAAAATGGTCCACCCCTTCCGATCCATCTGTTAGGAAATTCCTGATTTTATGGTAAAGAATTATTCAGTAACTATACTTAAAACTAGGTATATTAATCTTTATAACATTTTTTACAGATTATTTCTATCGCAAATACAAATAAAGTTATAAATTTTGAATTCTTTCTAACAGGTTTGAAATTTTGGTTAAAAATCTTAATTATTATAGAAAATTTTTGCGTCTTTTTTTTGTAGTAAAAACAAGTTGATTTGGAAATTCTTCCAAAAAATAAATTAATTTTCGGATTTTAATAAAATTTTCAGGAATTATTCACAAATGAATGAAATTATTTTTGAAATTATTTTAGAAAATCTTGGAAAAATATTTTTTTTTTACATCTTTTACTCCTTTACACCCCACTTACTTAATTTTACGAAAATTCGAGTACTTAAAATTCCACCCTTTTCATATTTATATAAGTTAAAAGCACGACTTCTTGGAGAATTTCAATCATCAATTTGTTTTTGTCAAACAGAAACACCATTTACCAAAAATCTACTTCGAATCGTAAAATAAAAAATGCAATAAAACTATGACATTATTTAAATAGAAAAGATTTTAATTGTTTTTATAAATAAGATTTATTAAGAAAAAAAATTCGATAAATAATGAATATTTACAAGAATTGTTTTCATTTCTTTTAAAATTTTAATTTGAATAATTTATTAAGTTTTAAATCTTTTAAAATTCTGTATTAATTTCACGTTTTTAGAGGATATTATTACTAGGTAAAAACTATATTTACTAATCATAAATGGAAAAGCTTACTACAATTCATCAAACACAAATATTTAAAAAAGAATTTAGATTTTTTGCATGTGTATACGTGCCAAATTTTGTAGATACGGGTGTTCATACACGACATTATCAGAAAATAAGTGATAACTATAGTAAATTTTTAAAAAAATGTCTAAAATTCAATAAAACATTAGATTACGGAGAATATTATCTAACGAGTTTAAGCAAGTGGATGACAGAACGTGGTCTGGGGGAGGTAGCAGAGGGAAGGAATTTGTTGAGAGCTGCAAGGGATAGAGGAAGAGGTGGAGAGCCATGATCGCCTACGTTCTGAAAGGACATGGCACATAAAAAGAAAAGAAGATAGTACTAAAAATTATATATAAAAGGCGCTCACGTTATACTCAATTAGTTTTTTACGGATAAAGCGCCGTAGAATAACATTAGATAAACATTAATCTGTCATCAAGCTATCAACACATCAATAAATTAAATAAACAGCTAACGACGTGTTAAAAAATGCATTTCTGTAATATTTTAAGCTTAAAATAAATAATATTTGTTTCAAATCAGATTAATTATGACTTAAATCAGCTATAATTCCTCAAATAAAGTTTCAAAAAAGTACATTTTATTTTTGGTAATTTTTTTTAATAAAGAGAATTACATTGCAATGAACACGAGCTAAAAATGGCGCGAAAATGAGATATTTAGCAAAAACAAAATCTTATTCCAGTCAATTTAAATTAGTTTTGAAATTGAGCAAAATATTTTGCTTATTGGAAATATTAAATTTAATCTATTTGTTCGAAATTACATCTAAAATAAAAGCTTCAAGAAAAAATTTTCATTTTTAAAAATTTATTTTAAACCTTTGGTATCGCAAGTCTGTGGCGGTATATATATATATATATATATATATATATATATATATATATATATATATATATATAGTGGATACTGAGGTCATCACCGAGCGGCGACAGTCACTTTCATAGATGAAACAGATTGTCCTTGCTTGTTGATGACATCAGTGTCTACTTTTATATTTACATACTGCTGTCCTTGAAACTGAACACATTTACACATAAATATATAATTCCTTAAAACTATAAATCTTATCATATATAATTCAAAACTGTTTAAATTGCTCAAGAGAGAACAAGAATTTTTTTTTCATATTCTATTTTGTCGCCAATGTAAACAAAATTCAAACTTGAAGATATTTAAATGTTTTACAATTGTAACTTGCATCCCAAACTCAATTTGTATTCCACTCGAAGAACTTCTTCCCCCAAATCGCTATTTTGTGGAACCGACTCCCAAGTGAATGCTTCCTAGATCTTAACTCGTTCAAGTCTAGGGTTAACTGTTATTTTCCTCACATATCCTCATAAATTGTGCCTGTTACCTCTTACTCTATTACATCTACATCGAGTACAGGGTGAAAATTATTGTAAAAAATAATTCGAAATTTTGCACTAGTCCTGGAACCCATTAGATCTTTTGGTGCATTGCATGTATTGCAACCGTAGCGACAGTAGATGTGACTAGGGTAAGATAGCTTGACGACGCCTCTCATCAGGATATTTTTTGAATTCATAGTATTATCCTTCTTCTAGATTGGTTGCTATCCATCTGCTAATTAATCTGTAGTCAATGGGAGAAAGATGGATTTATGCTTTCCCCAAGAGTATTTGCACGAAAGTGGACATAACAATCTCGACTGGAATTCGAACTCGTCGATTTCCTTCCGAGCCGATAACCGTTACTCTACCTGCCCATTCCAAATGACAGAACTCTAAAATTAAAAGTGCATGGCTGTACCACTTTCAAGATGAATTTCAAAGACGTGATCCAGCATTCGAAATACAAGCTTTCATCTGGGCTTGAACGCCGGCCAAAAGCACCAGAGCTAACAACGCAATTCTTTCAGCTAACACGCCGGGCATAATCAAAGAATATATTCTTGCACACGCATACATGCTTATAGGTTTACGTCTCTGCTCATTACGTGTCTCTTTTGTCACAGAACCGATTATCAGACTCGTTATAACAAGAGGTTGACAGCGAAAACAACTTCCCCCGTCTATGAAAATGTGATTCCCCTTTAATTGGGTTGTTCTCTTGTGCTGCTGTTTTTGAACTTGCTTGTCAAAGAGAACGTATTAAATCTGTCTGAGGAACGAAACGTTTTCTCAATAAACGCAATTGATCTATAGGGACCTTCATGAAAATAATCCCTAAGAAAATCTTGTCCTTAGCCTTTTCTAACGTTAAACGAAAAGAATTATAAATCAAATCGGATATCTGAAGCGTAATGAATTATACTATGCGTACTAAATCGCCTTCTGTCAGATCTCATCTAAAGTAAAGATAATCATTGGGATTTTATTGCGTGACGCTATACGATCTTCGAGTGTGTGTGGGTTAAATGATAGAACATTCTATAAAATTTCAAAGCCTAGTTTTCGTCGTTATTTATCGGAATAACTTTTTTCTTTTGGTGGAAAACAAACGTACACACATATATTTAAAGAATAACCTTTTACTAGTAAAGTTATTAACTAATAATGATCATTATAGGGATTCATTTTTTTTTGCCTGAGATTTCAAAATGAATTGTTATATTTGCATTGGCAGAGACTATTCGTTCGATTATT